CTTCGTTTGTGACCGTAGATGTAAGCTTAAAAAAAAAGAATGTTTGATCCTTCCAACAAGTGGATGGAATACTTACTGACGGTTTGGCTTCATTTAAGTACAATCAAAGCTTACATTATTCAGTTCTTTTGTGTCGGTGTGTGTGTGTGTGTGTGTGAGAATCTCTGTAAACATATCAACACTGAAGTACAAAAGCTGAGGGCATGAGACGAGTGGCGGAAAGGGGTGGGGGAGGGGGGTCACATCTCTAAATCATTTAAATTTTGCACAATGTCTGTTTTCCTTGTGGGCTGAAAGGAGGGAGAATCTTTTGCGGGATTTAAATGATTCATCGTTTTCATTTGGAATGGAGTAGCAAGCTGAATTTTTCACTTTCCTACCACAGCTGATGGCATAAAAAAGGAACAGTTTTCTGTACAATCGCTTCACTTATGAGACCATTTCTGTTTTTGTACATTCTTCCCATCTAATCTGCCTKTCTATCCAAATATCAGGTTTGCCTTCTTGTGTGTTAGCCTTGTTCCGATACTTCCTTGTGAAATTTTGTTGCTCACGCACATCAACTCGAGAGCTAATGTTGTTGCTTGTTCAGCGCTGGACTTTCTTCTTGTCTTTAAACAGTCCTCGGGTATCATGATTCCTACCCTGACACCCTTTYACTGAGTTTGATTTATCACTCTCACGCAAACAAGAGAGTCTGCGTAATGAACTTGTGCTCCAACGTRCACATTTACGCAGACGGAAAGTTCAGGCCAGCCTGCACTGCGAGTGACGTCTTTCTTCCTGTTTCCCGCTAATTCTCATTCCGTGCGTGAGAGCTGAATTAAATAGAGTCTGGGATGTTTGGGTTGTTTTTCTTTGTCCRAAGCATTTAACAAATTGTTGCTGCCCCGAGCCGAAGCAGCCTCTGCATTGTCTCAGTATCTGTGCTCAACCATATCAGCGTTTCAACACTTATTGCTTTAAATTACATCAATCACTCCCTCTCCTGCCCTCGCATTCTCCATCCTCCCTAGGCTCATTTTTCTCTGTCTCTTTTTATTACTTTGCCTCTTCATCTTTCTCCCCTTTAACTTCTCTTCACATTATTCCAGCTCTAGATGCCTTTTCATCATCCTCCTAGTCCCTCCTTTCCTCTCTCCCTCCTTTTGCCCCCATTGGTTTTTATTTTTTCAATCCTCAGTCCTTCCCTTCATCTCCAACCTTGCCATCCTCTTTTTTGTCCTTCTTCCCCAGCTCTTCTTTCTTTCCTTTCTCCCTTTTGGCACTCTCTTCGACAATTTCCTGATCTTCTTTTGCTTTTTCCCTGTTTCTGAAGAGCTGGGCTAATTTCTGAAACTGAGGTCCCCACTCTTCTATCCCTGCCCCCCAATCCTCCTTCTCTCCCTCGCTCTCAAGCGAGCTGAGGGATCCGGCCCTGGATCCTGTCCCCTCCAGACCGTACACCTGCACGGAGTCGTATGGTGGCTGGGAGGGGTCAAAGGTGACTTGGGCAAGACGCAGTCGTAGGAACTCCCCCACCCTCAATGCCAAAGAGGGACCACCAGGTCCCGGTGGCCCTCTTGCTCCCTCCATCCCAGAAACCCAGCTGGGCCCATAGCCCAGTACTCCACCATATGTTCCCCGAGGCTGCCCTGGAAAGGGTAAAAGCTGAGGGCTCATGTCCCTCCTTCCCAAAACATACCCCCCTAAGCCGATTTGATCGCGCCAGTCCCCAATAAATCCGGCTGCCTCTGGGTAGACAGACGGAGTCCCAGTCAGTGATATCCCTCCGCTCTCTCTGTCAGGCCGCGGAACCACAAAGTTGCTCCCCATCTCCAGCCCTCCTCTCCCCAGGCTGCCAGAATAGTCCCTTTGTCCAGACACCTCCCCCTGCAGGACAGAGGCGTAACTGCGTCCACTGACAAGTTGCTGCTGTCCATCTCTGGAAGTCATTCCACTTCCCCCATCCCCTCCTCCTCCTCCTCCTCCTCCTCCTCCTCCCTCTGTGCCGGGGTCATGCTCCGCCACACCGGAGATCGTGCGTTTCGGGGAGAGGCCAGCACGGGAAGCCCTGCGCCCGGCCATGGGCAGGGTAGCCGAGTCGCATACCCAGCCTCCAGCGGCGTGACCCTGGCCAATCAAGGAGCCCGATCGGGTCAGAACAAGGTTGTGCTCTCGGGGCAAGGTCTCCGACTGCACCTGGAGGGAATGCAGGCGAGCATGAGAGGTTTCAGTCGGGGCCAGGGTTGGGTGTCAGCACATGGGTACAAAAATCGACAAAGTAGATGGGGAAACTTTAGTAACAGACAGTAAAACAGAATAAGGGTAGAGAAGGGTGACAAAGATGAAGGAGATGCTGAAGATGATAAAATAATTCAGATGATGGTGACACATTGAACTGAAGCTGGAAGAAGTAACGGATATTAAATGAGGACTAGAATGAGCTAACACTGCACTGTGACAGAAAAATGATAGAGAGAAAGAGTATTTCAAAATTAAATAAAGAAAGCTGTGTTATGACCTAGTAAATAAAAGAAAACACAAAAATGAACAATAGGATATAAAACATGCTGAAATATCTGAACGATCATCTTCTTCTGAAATTTTCCTGCATATTTATGCTGATTTACAGAGATTAAAAATATAATGTGCAATCGCTGCAATTATCTACTGTATTAAGTGGAATGCCAAGTTAACAGTTCCTTTATATTTGTTTAATTACTTTCTAACATATTACTTGTGCCAACTGTTAAATAATTAAGTTCATTCATTTAACTTTAATGATATTTTCAATGAAGCTGTAAATTATTAGAGTTGGAATTTATTTCATTTCATTTTACAGTTCGGTGAAATATCTACCTCATTCTGTCCCCTTCCTTTACTATGTAACTTTTTTATATTTTTATGTGTTTTATTGGTTTGCCATTAACATTATTCCTTTTCCAGTCTTACACAAACACTCAGGTTTGTAGAATTTTCACTTTCAACATTGGACAAAATTGTTAGCTGAAACATTATAAGTTACAAAATAATACCAATGCACACATTCCCAACAGCCAAACAAACAAGTCAAAAGAAGAATTGTTTACATGAGCTTAAATAGCAAAAGGTTTGACAAGCTTTTTTTTAGTAATTAGAATCTCTCATACTGTACTTTTAGTGTATACTGGCCTCTTTATAATCCTTACCCAGTCCAAGTCTTGACCGTGGCTAACCTTGTCCTCATTACTTTCATCTGTACAGCTGTTTCCAGGTCCCGTCCCTCCTCCTCTCTCCTGGCTGTCATTGGTCCTCGGAGTCCCTCCGTCTGAAGTGCTAACTCCACTGTGGGGGGCTGTTCCATCACGGCTGCCTGTGCGACTCCCCGTTCTGCTTCCTGTGCTGAGGTCTGTTGGAGCTATGTACACTGCTCCAGACTCCATTGGGCCCACCATGGCCCCTTGGTTCTGGATGACCAAGGAGTGGTCTGGCTGGCCCCCTGGAATGCGATACGCCAGCTCTGCCAAGCCTGGATCAAATGTTCCACCAGGTGTACGGCGGAGAACTGGTAATGTGTGGCTGCTGTAGCAAAGACGGCCATAAAGGGGTCCACCTGCTCCTGAATAGTTGTGATCCACTCCTGGGTTCTGAGCCCAGCTGTAGGTGCGAGATTTGTCCTGGGCATGCTGGCTGTAACGACTGAAAAACACAAAATGATAAACAATAAGTTAAATGTAAGTCAAATCAGTTTTGTGGCATAATTTTCCTTTGGGATCAATAAAGTATTTTTGAATTGAATTGAATTGAATCATTGGACATTGTATCATTAGACAGTAAAGTAGATTGTGACCATTAAAAAAACCTTAAATGCAAAAACTTTTATTTTTATTTTGTTTCTTAACAATTTTTTACATCACCATTTTTTGTATTATGATTGCCATGTTATATTACTTATTATGACTTTGATATTCCTTCAACTATGTTTATAGGTTTTGATAGTCACTTTTCTGGTTTCACATATTCCTCTAAGAGAAAACTCAGGCAATTACTGTTTATGCTAGGAGAAGAGTCACCTGGAACTACACTTTACTTACTGGGTACATACCTATAAGTACATACAGGGTTAGTTACAGGGTATTTATGGGGATAGGGTTGTATCATGAAGTCACTACTTATACAAAATGGTAAGTACCAGGTACATATCAGAGGTAGGTGCTCTAAAGAGTATGTACCCGATACCTAAAAAAAGTATGTACTTACTCCATTAGTATCAGGTACCTGTCCTAAAAGTACTAGGAATGTACTTTTAGTATAAGGTAATATGTCACTTTAAAATAAAGCCCTCTCCCTAGAACCCTATGGTTCTCTTTTCAACAAGTGGGTACCAGGTGTATACCCCCTAATTCACTGGTTCCCAACCCTGGTTCTACATGTTTTAGTTATTTACCTGCTCTTCAGCAGGTCTTCAGATTCTTCAGAAACCTGTTTGTCACTCATAAAAATCAGGTGTGCCAAAGCAGGGAACCATCTTAAACTTGTAGGCTAGTGGGCCTCGAKGACCAGGGTTAGGAATCACTGCCCTAAGTACAACGTACATACATTACAGGGTAACAAGACATTTTAGAATACAGTCTGGTTCTYGATGCTACCATGTAAGTGTCGAGTAGGTAGCCTATACTGTATTAATGGCTGCATTATGTATTGCTACCATCATCTTTTGTTCCATTGCTTTTTCAAAAAAAAAACAAAACACAAAACTATTTTAATAACTGTTTTAGGCACAATTGTATTTGTGCAGAGATCTTCTCTTTCCCTGTTTTACTTATGTCCATGATTCAATAAAATATCAGACAATTCCATTCAATAAAATAATGGAGTTCCAACTGTACAAGTGTAGATAAAGAAAACATAAATGCAATTTGAAAAGTAAGACAAACAAAAATTCATAATAATGGTGTTTATTACCTTTTAGTTGGTTAGCTAAAATTCAGACTTTAAGTGCTGCTTTCAAGTCTTCAAGTCTAATCAAAGCTTAAAGCAGAAAACTGAGCATTTAAGTTACTGTGAAGTTTAGTAATCTGCTCCTCTGTGACGTTGGATGAACTAAATGAAAACATTGAAAAAAAGCGTCGCAGGAGTATTGCACTGTGTTGCATTAGATGTTGAGGGTTTTTATTGCTGTGGACTCCACCTTCTATAAATTGAAAAAAGCAATTTCCATAAACTACAAGCAATCTTTGTACTTATTTATGGCCACTCCATGTGGCTTACATGAATTCAGGAATTGATTATTAGTCCAAAGGCAATAACCATGTTGCACAGAAACATCAAAGTGGGTGCAAACAAGCCTGTGATGTAGCAGAACATAAACGAGCTTTAACAAAACGGACAGAACAAAGTGGTCTCCGAGGACCGCCATGCTTGATAGCCTTCTGTTTCAGCATTTTGATCAGCGACTGATTACGACCTGCGAGTCGCAGCTCGATGCGTCACTTAAGTGGATCRGTTAAGTTCTGGACGGTGATGAAAGCATTCGCTCCAAAGGAGTAAATTTGTTTACCTCCTGTCTCTCTTTTAGCGAGATGAGGCCAGCTGTGGTTATACATGTACGGCAACATGGAAACAAACCACTCACATATTCCTGCTGTCGAGGGTGCGATAGCCACGTGAGCGGGAGCTGTGCGGAGCACTCTGGAGCGCGGCGATATCAAAGGCAGCCGTGTCGGCCTCCCCTCCGCCCTCGTCGTCGTACGTGATGATGTTTTCGCGCACGTCGTCCTCCTCCAGCGGCGACAGGGAGTCTCGCTTCTGACGGCGCAGCGACAGCGACAGGGCGCTCACGGCTGTCGAGGGAAACGGGACAGAAGGTTTTTCGAGGGGTAGGAGAGGAATCGGAGAGAAAGGGGGAAAAAAAAGAATGATGAACAATGGAGACAGGGCAAATATCACAAGGGAAATAAAGGGAAGGAGGTAAAGGACAGAGCGAGTCAAGGAGAAAAATTCATGCAGACAAAGAGGTGAAACTCACAAAGACAAAGGGAATAAAGGAGAGGCCGCAGGTGAGAGGGCTGCTAAATCATATCAGCAGACTGCATGCCTCCGCTCTATAATTGACTTTGAGCTCCAGCTGGGCAAATGGATACCAGTCATGACTCCATGACTCATTATTCTGTATTCCTAAATAAGGAAATTCTATTTGACCCTGAGCACTTTTAATGAGCTCATTCATAGGCGTTCAACATGGACACCTGTGGTCAAATACCCACAACGCTGACCGTAGTTTGTTATAAGACATTCATTTACCAAACTATCTAATGAACACTAGAGAAATTGAATTTGTGTATATAACAGTTGGGTAACAATCTAAAGGAAAGCACAATATTAAACATTTTTATTGTCTCCTAGCAGAAATCGTTGATAACTTGTTGGGGAATGAGAATCATTATTCCAACAATAATTCATTTGATTTAGCAGCGTAGTTAAAATGCAAGAGGACCGGCTTATTTTGAAGCTACTAGTAAAATGTGCACCACATTCTCATTCTAATTCAGAAATTTTAAGTTTAAATGACCATTGTTTCTAAGTTAATAACATTTAATATTATATTGGAAACTCCTCTGTATGGTCTGTACCCAAATGATTAGAAATGTGATAAAACTTTGAGTCAACTCAAGATTTAGTACAAAACATTATTGCTTTAAAATGTAGCCTGCAGTTCACCTGTGGGGAAGGCTTATGTTTTATCTATTTAATAATGTTCCCTATTTATTTATCTATATCTTTGCCACTAATATTTGATGAAGTTGCAAGGAATTATGAAGAAAATTTGTTTCTGGCAATATTTGTAAGTTAAAACTTCAGCATTTAATCACTGAATAGACTCTARTATAATGTGTTGAGCATAATCCATTAAAAACATATTTTTACTAACAACGTCTCAACATTCAAAGGCTCTGTTTACACCACTTTAWATATATTTGATGTCTTTTTCTTCATTTCCCTGTTTTTTTATTTATAATAATCATCATTTAGGAAAAACTCCATTTCGTCCATATAGACAACACTTTTGTTTTTTCAACCAAAAACACTGTTTATGTGCCAAAGTTAGGTGCAACACAGAAGAAAATCTTGATTAAAAAACAAATTATATGTATCTACCTGAAGTAGTGTAGTGTAGCATAGGGCCTCTGAGCATTTCTGTTGTTACTGATATGCCAGTTAGCTCAGAATTCATAACACAGCCTTGTGAATGTGTTTTAGTTAAGAGGTTCAGAGAAAATCTGTGAATTGGGGTGAGAACATGACCCTAAACAACTCAAATAAAAATATCTAAAATATGCAATGCAATGTTCACTGGCAATCAAAATAATATCACTTTTACCCAAAACGTTTAAAATTAAAGTATACAAAAAACATGTTTTAACATGCAAAAGGTTTATATAATAATGTTGCTGATTTATACATATTTTAAAAACATTATTATCAAAAAATTGTATTTTTGAAATATATGTAACACTAAAAAAACTTCAGTTTTTTTCAGTAATTAAGTATTTGTACATGAACATGAACATGCATGTCCTCTCCATCAGAAAGTGCTGCAGCACCCTACACACCCTTTCTTCTCACAAACTTTAATGCCATTTTTTGTATCTTTAATACAAGATGGTACCCATTTTTATTTATTCACTTTGATCCAACAAAGTTACAACTCTTCTCTTTAGAAATGTTCAACTATTTATCTTCAAACTTTGACAGAACAGCTGTGCTCCGATTTGAGATCTTTTGATATAATTAGACAACCACAGTTTGGAGGAGGAGGTCAGTTATTATACAGGCCTTTGTGCGCAAATGTGCATATCGTAGGTGGTTAAGCTGCTGCGGTAACTTAATCTGCACTCGTGGAATCATTAGGAGTCGCTTMATCAGACTGCATATGAAATAGTTCAATGATTTCAGAAAATAAATGGGACATTTGTGAGATCATGTCACAAGGAGCAGAGTTTCTCACCTAAACACAGCCCTCATGCACAAAGCTTAAGAGGTTATCAGGTGTTCATGTAAGCTGGGGCCTGTTTTAATAACCAAACAGAATCAYGATGAAGTCATTGTCAAAGCCTCTGTGAGAACATCCGGTGTAATTTGGAAGGTCAGGTTGTGCTGCTTTGTAGCTCTGTTCTACAAGAGTGTTTTGCATTTCCATGGTGTAGTTTATACCCCTGTGACTGACTGAACTAAATCCATAACTCCGTCAAAGCCCCGGTGCCGGATCACCTTCATGGTACGTTTCTGTTGTGATTGAGCTAACCTCTTTCCGAATGGTAATGACTTTATCAACAAGGCATGAGTAGTGATCCCACAGAAATGACAGCGACGATGGCCACGAGCCAACGCYTCCTCAGCAACTCAGCACAATGCAACGGAGCATTTCTAAAAAAGCGCCGGTGACATTTGATTACGCTGCCATCAAAAAGCGGAGAAGCCAGATAATCACCTGGTAATGTTATTTTAGCAGTGATTAGAGCTGACCTTGCCAGAGGAAACAAAAGGGCTAAAAACTGAATGAAAATCAAACCCAGTTMTTGAGGCAGTCGTGACTAAGAGAAATATTTGCGCTGCTGCTCTCGTTATTTCCATATGCAAATTAGGCATCAAGGGAGTCGTTGTAGTGGCAAGTAAACAGCACTAAACACTAACCCAATCAACTCTTTAATTTGTTGATTACCATTAAAATGCTTTCCAGGCAGAAAATGATATAGCTTTACTGTGAGTATAACAGCGGGTGTTGGAGTATAAGTATCATGGAAGTTATACAAGTAAGTGTTTTAAAGGCCAATAAAATGATCCATATTATTATTATTATTACCCGCCACTGAAAACTGCAGTTATATTTACGTTTGTGACTGTACATGTGTGTCTGTTAGCAAAAAATCTCAAAACTGACTAGATGGATTTGGATGAAATTTTCAGAAAGCAATCATTACATGTACATTTACAACTGAAAAGCTTTTGAAGTCAATCCCGTTCAAGATGGATGCCATAGCTGATTGACATTAGCTGACATAAAAGTGTCTATAACTCAGTCAGTTTTACAGAAATTGAGCTAAAATTTCCTGTGTTAATAGCTGTGAATCATCCGCAGCAAATCTGAGCATGTCATATTGCAATGTCATGTGAAACACCTAAGGTTTGGTGAATACATAGGATGACCTGTATCTAAAATTTCCATTTCTTTAATTATGTGAATGCAGTTGAGATCGTTTTTTTTCTTCCGTACGTTTTTCGGCACCTTTCTCATTCCACAATTTTTGTGCTACTTCAACCATTCATATATCAAAACGTTCAGCTCTTTCGTGCAATGCCAGCTATGACTTTTGATATTTCAGCTATTTTTACTTTTTTAGCTATTTCAACTTTTTAGCCACTTTTTCTCCCATTAACTTTGAATGGGGCTATTTTCAACAACCTTAAAATCCTTCAAATAGTTTCTAAATATTTACAAAACCTTACACAATTTGTTCTGGTAATGCTCTTTTTTACTGTCTTGTGCAAATTTTAGCGACTTTTTTGCTAATTGTAGTTTTTTTCTGCTATTTCAGCTAAAATTACTTCTTTCTGCTATTCTTTTTTCTGCTTTGTTATACTTTTTTCTGCTAATTTGTGCTATTTTTTCTTCTTACAGTTTCTTTCTTCTATATTCAGCTATTTGCTACAAATTTAGTTAAATTTTAGCTATTATTACCCACTGTTAGCTTTCTATGCTAATTACACATTTTTCTGGATCAGTTTCAACTGAATTCTGCTAAATTCAGCAAACTTGTGCTCCTTATGCATCTTTTTGCTAATTAAAATGTTTCCAGCTACTTTTTAGCTGTTTTACTAAAAACTTCGGCTGTTTTACCTGTTTTACTTCAAATGATCACTTTTTAGTTTAATGATTTTCTGTTAATTTTGAATTTGTTACATCCATTTCACCATCTGTGTGCAACTTTCAACTTGAGTCTGCTACCTTTAGCTTATGTATGCTAACTTTAGCTTTTTTGCTGCTATATCAGCTAAAATTTTATTTATTTCTGCAATTCTTCTGTTTTTCTGCTTTGTTATACATTTGTCTGCTACTTTATGCTGTTTATGCTTCTTTGGCATTCTGCTATGTTCAGCTATTTATTTTTTAGCTTTTATGCTAATTCAGCCATATTTTTGCTCCTTTTAACTGTTTTTCTGCCTTTTTTGCTTCGTTCAGCTTTTCATGTTTAATAACATGCTCAGCTCAATTTCAGCTTCTTCAGCAGCTTTCAGCTAAAGTTTTCAGCTACAGGCATTCACACTAGCATTTTCGCAGGAAATGCAATTTCTCTAGTGATTATTAGGCCTTAATGATGTGTTACTTTGGTTTTACTGTCATGTCAATATTAGAAATTTCTGTATTTGGAGTCATAAAAATGTAATGTAAAACAAAGGGAAATCTTACCCAGTAGAGTAGCAACACAAGCCAGGATAGCCAGCAGGGCGGCAGTGCTGAGTCCAGGGGAAGGAAGCATGGACTGCTGGGGGAGACACACTGCCTCCTTTTCCCAGTCCCACTCCCCCTCCGACTGTTTCTCCTTGTCTTTCTCCCCAGCTCGGGCTCCTCCCTTCAGGCAGGGACAGACAGACACGGTGACTGTCCCCGTGCTGGTGAGGCCTGACGTCCCGTCCCTCAGGACGAGCGGCACGTACAGCGTTAGGGTGGAGGACGAGGAGCGGGACAGCGGCTGGAGCTGGGACAGCAGCACCAGGCTGGCTGTGGGGCCTGAGGGGAAGAGCAAACAGGGAAGAAGACACTTATTATTAATCAGCTGTTAACTGCATCCTGCAGCTTTCATTTTCTGTGCTAAATCATAGCAGGAGGTCACCATCTGAAAGTGATGCCCCAAAATCCCAACTCTTGTGTTTTCAGTTTAGTAATCCCAGTCAGCTGCTGATTGATTTAAACCGCTCAGGGAAACAGGCGGATTTGTTGAACTTTGCTTAATTCAACTTCCCCTGTCATGTTTTGGCATTTTGTATTTCTTGCAAATTAAATGCGCTGCATATGAATTGAAAATGTTTCCCATCCATGAAAATACAACGATTCACACAAAAACACTCGACTGAGCTAAGATGAAGACTTTACAGTATCACCCAYGCTAAAGCCAAACTTCAGACTTTATGGCTTCCAATTGGGCCAAAGTTTAAACATATTGTTAAAAAGATTAAACTGTTCAGCTACTATCTGAAAACAATGTGGTGATTGTAGTTTTGTTTTTGTGAGTGAAATTGTTGTGTTAACGTAATATCTAAAACTAAACTTCCTTCAATGGATGTCAAACCTTTCATTTATATATGTTTATTTTTTTGTGAACACTATCTTCTGATTTCAAAACAAATTTCCCCAAGGGGACAGCAAAGCATAAGCATATTGAATTATACAGTATGATACCATTCTGTATTATTGTGTACCACACAATGTATGTTCTAAATAAAATCAAATACATAAATTCATAAACTTCGAAGAAGGCATTCGATTGTGTTCTTTGAGGTATTGTGTGGGGGGTGCTCTGTGATTATGGGTCCATTGTTACGGGCCTTTCAATCTTTATCTTAGTTGGAAAGGGTGAAAAGTTATCTGGGAGTAGAACCACTGCTCCTCCATATTGAGGGGAGCCAGTTGAGGTGGGCTTCTGGTAAGGATGCCTCCCTGGGAAGGTGATTCATGCATTTATCACTGGAAGGAGACACAGATGAAGACATGATTGACAGATTATGTCTTTCGTTTGACCTGGGAACACCTTAGAATCCTTCCAGAAGAGCTGAAAGAGGTGGCTGCCCCTGAGACCCGTCTTGGAATAAATGGAAGAGAATGAATGGATGAATGGATGTGTATTCATGGCAGAAACTCATCGCAATTCCACAGTATGTCCTAAACTAAACTAATTAACCTTTATTGTGCCTCGGTGGGGAAATTCATTGTCTTTCCATCACACATGTGTGCACGTCATTTTTTTGAGGCGCCATGGGCCCATGAGTGGGRCAAATCCAGGGATTTGATTTCCAACAGGCTCACCGTCTCTAACCTCTCCAATGTCTAAAACAGGGGTGGTCCTCGAGAGCCGCAACCCTGCATGTATTACTTGTTTCTCTGCTCCAACACACTTGATTTGAATGAATGGGTGATTTTCAGGCTTCTGCGGAACTTGAAAGAGGTAATTCAATGACTGAATCAGCTGTGTTGGAGCAGGGAAAAAAGTCAAACAATCTTGAAGACCAGGACTGCCCCAACCCTGGTCTAGATCATTTACATGCTTTACAAAACATTTTAAAAATGAAACCAATATTTCTTTTTTGGTTTTGTTTTAAATTAATCAACTTCTCTGGGTTTTGTACAAAAGAATCCTGCATATTTCTTTTTTCCTGTATTGAAATAAATGCTGTAAGCCACAACTGTAGGGCCACAGATAAAAGAGGACATGGAGTTATTTCATCAGAATGAATGGCAGTGCAAAAAATAAAAGTACCAACATGACCAACATGACAAAAGTGATAATCCAAAAATGTTTCTGTGATCCAAATCACAGATCAAGTCATTATCTTCTGGAACAAAGCAAAGAAAAAAGCAGATTTTAGTGACAAGCTGTCCATATGGGAGCAGAACATGATCTTATTGTTCCTCTGTTCTGCTGTTGGATGACACATAAAAGAGAACTTTGAAACCACAAGTCAGCGAGTGTATCCTCCTGATCCACCATCCATCAGTACGCTCTCATCAAGAGACAACAATCTTTTCACAAAAGGGGGGAATATTTCCAGTTCTGAAGCCCGGATCTTTCAGAAAAGAAGTACACTTTTAAGGATACTGTGTATGTGTGGAGATGAGACCACAAATATCTCATAGGTTTAAGTGTTTTCCAGAGCCAAAGATCAAACTAGATTCAAAATTCCCCAAAACTCTGTGGCTTCCTTCAGTCCTTTGGGCCACTTCAGCATCTCTTGGCAACTCATTTTGTTTTGGCAGCCCACAAGTGTTCATGTTGGTAAGGATTCAAAACTTTGACAGAAGCTGGAGAATTTAGCAACTATTGAATCATTTCCTGCTGGAGATGGCAGAGTTCAAAACAAAGCTAAAAAACGAAGTGGTAATAATGGATACACTACAATCAGTGAATGGCTCTAAACACACTATGTATATGCAATATGTGCTAATGTGTCTTTTAGCATGTTGGTGAAAAAATCATTAAGGACGAAATTAACACAATTACTGGAAAAAACCCCACAATAAATAAATAAATAAATAAATAAATAAATAATTAAACATTGCAGATGATGCTAACAGTATTTTTTTTTTTCTCTAAACTCATGCTTTTCAGGGACCTGGCTAAAGTNTTTTTTTCTCTAAACTCATGCTTTTCAGGGACCTGGCTAAAGTGAAGCAGGGTGAATCTGTGCCATGTTGAGTAACATTAACAACCTAAAATGTCAAAATTTAAATAAAAAAACTTAACTATGTTTATCAACAGATGAACAGAGAGTGACCACATTTATACACTTTTGTTTGAATCAGATGGCAGCGTTAAGAGCAGAAACGGTATTATTACAAACAACATGGAGCGTTTTGGATTAAAACTAAAGCTCTCACTTTCAGACTTGCAACTACTTTTTATAATTTTTTTGAATCTGTGCCACATAGCAGTCTGCTGAATTCAAGAGGTGTGATACAATTAGAGAAAAGCTACGGAATGCAKGAACACCTGCAAAGATCAGGGGATTTTTTTTTTTTTTTTACTTTTAGCAGGTCCCAGTTTGTCACGACTATGTTCTTATGCCTTTGAGATTGGCATAGATAAAAGTTGTAGCAATCAAATCTCTGAACATGAAAAATTAATATTTTACGCACCAGAGGTCAAATTTTTACAACTTTCTTCGTACTGATTGTACATAAATTTCACAGATTTTAACCCATTGTGCATGCAGACATTTAGAGATTATCTTACAGATATTTTCAAAAACTTCAGCTTCAATTTAGAGTAGGTAGTCTGTTGCAGACAGTTATTTCTSCTCCCACAGCCCACCCCATTCATTGAATCATGTGAGAGTAYTATGGATTTTTGTAAATACAGTTAAACGTCCCAAGGAGTTGACATGTTTGATCCTAGCAAAAAGTTAAAGAATCGATTGTGCCAAAGGCCACTGAGTCCCACAAGGCCATGCGGTCCGTGATCCTGCAATTGACACAAGAAATCATAAAAAAATTCAAGGGTTTGTAACAAGTCCTGTAAGAGCAATACACCTATAATAGATATTTCACCAAATACCACTGAGAGATTAAATTGGTCAGGATGTTATTGTTTCTGGGTAGGGATAAATTAACGTCTTTGTTTTTTCAGAACTGTTTGTTTAATTATAATTGGAAGAATCCAAAATTATCTGTGCTCCCTCCAAAGTACTCATTTCCAGAATTTCTTGCAAAGAAATTTTGCAACACTGAACCCTCCGACATCTTTATTTTTTTGACAGCAAGATGTTTTTTAAAGTTCTCTCTTTCTTTTAAAGATGCATTTATTTAGTGCAGGTACAGTAAAAGTCATACCTGCTTTCAGGCTTAAGTGTAAATGCAAGTTATCAAAATTCTTAAGACAAAGAATCACTCTTGTTCTCCCAGATATTTAAGGCAGCTCCAGAGGTCTCTCAACTGCCTAAGAGTTGCCAATGGGGATCTAATATGGACTGAGAAAGACAGAACTGTCCTCACAAACATACTGCACCACCACAGAACCTGCACTAAGTGKCCTGGGGGTTCTGAGTGTGATTCCCARTWATAATGTAAAGTAACTAAAAAAAAGTGTGGGAATTAGGTTTAGGCATGCAGTACAAAAAAACTACCAGTGTGTGCGATGATGGAGTTAAAAGCARATATTTCTGTGTGGCTTTTGGAGAGAAAATAACTTTTTTTTACGCAGTCAGATGGAGAGTGAATGCAGGTTACACGAGATGCAATCCAAAGTCTTGAGAAGTTTTTCTTGTACGCATTAGTTAACGTGTGAGTGAAATTTTCTTTTATTTCTTACTGTTATAATATGTCAACCCATGTTGCACTTTTAGCTGTATGATAACCTTAAAAAATCTGTAAATTTCCTAATCAAAAATTTCTAGAACTCACACAATACAATGGTATGTGTGTGTGCGCACATGCATGCGTGCATGAGGAGGGGGCGTCGCCTGCGTCAGAGCAGGCAGTTTAGTGGAGGGAGCAAAGA